CTGACAGCTGTGCAGGGGCGGGTCTAGCAAAGTTTTGCCAGGGGGCCAGGTAGGGCATTAACAGGGAAAGGGGGGCACAAATAAATACTTTTCTTTCTCCTCCTCATTTAAAGTGTCTCGCTTTAAATAAATAATTATCTGAATCTTACAACCAAGTTTTTATCTGATGTACAATGTATAGAAATCATATATATACCAACAAGACAGCGTGCATCACTGTCACAACAGCGTTTGTTTTCATTCAAAGGCTTTATGGCTTTTCCTATAATACCTGGGAGGCCGGTCTCTAGTCAAAATGCCCGGTTTTGTCCGAGTTTTTTGTCCCAGTCCAGCCCTGGGCACGTCATGTAGTGAATTAATCTGAGCAGGTGCATTAAAGAAATAAATGGCCGGGCCAGTGGTGCACATCGCAAATTAGCTCACATAGACACATTAGTTGTGCCGCTTCTTAATGACCTAACTTAGCTAACAACCCCAACTACCAGATTCAACTTGTAATTGGCTAAAAATAACTTCGCCTACCGGTGAGAGGGACGTTGCTAGCTGGCAGTTTTATCAAGCGATGTTGAAATTTCCAACACCTCAAATACTTCAGGAGCTGTCTGCTCAGTGCAGCATCAGCACCACAGAAATACATGGATACATCCGTAGACTCCAGACAGAATTCACAATGTGTTTTCGGGACTTTCGGGTGTTTGGACCAATGTTTTCTTTTCTAATCAAACCAGAAAGGTTTAATGAGCAGCTGGATTTGTCTCGCATTGACTGCCTGGACACAGATGACATCAAAATGCAGCTGATTGAACTGAAAGGCTCGACTCTGTAGGGGTCAAAGTTTGCAGAACTACAGATGCAGCTGGAATCCACAGCTGTGCATGTTCATGGAGCTTGCATTAATTTTTTTAGGTAAATGTAATAAAGAGTTAGCTAAATATAATAAATAAAACAGGTAGCAAAAAAGTAATAAACTATTAATGTAAAGTAACAAATGAAACAGTTAGCTAAATGTAATAAACAGCTAACTAAAAATAATAAATAACACAGGTAGCAAAAAATTAATAAAATATTAATGTAAAGAAAGGAACGAAACAGTTAGCTAAAAATAACAGATTACACTGTCAGCTAAAAGTAATACACAGTTAACTAAAAATAAAAGACAGTTATCCAAATGAATTAAAAGTAATAACCTGTTATAAATGGCTAAAAGTACTGAACGGTGAACCAAAGGTAATTGATTAAATGCTTAGCTAACAGTACTAAATGCTTAAATGACTAAACGGTTAGCTTAAAGTCATAAAGCGCTATCAGAGACCAGTTGTGCCCGTCTCTGGTAAAGCATCCATTATAAATTGTGCCACTCTATCTTTTTTAAATTGATGTTTAAGTAAAGTTTGTTTTAATATAACTCAAACTCTAATGGTATTGTTGCTAGCATGTTCTAATACCTTTAAATTGCTTGTTTAGCTAACACACACTTCGGGGCTAGTTTAAAACCGAAGCATTAGATATGAGCAGAGTGAGCTATCTGCCTTTGATATTATGACGCTTATTTCCTTAAACGCGCCTTTGTAACAGAGTGAGACGTCTGCTTTATTTCCTCCTCTCTGACAGCAGCTTCAGGGCGGAGAGATGTAGCGAGGAGGAGGAGTAACAGGAGGAGAAAGAGGAGAGGAGGGGCCCACTGTCACCGGACGGGTCTGCGCGAAAGCAGAACGGAGTTTTTCCTCCTTGGCTGGGCGGTGGGAGGAGGTGGTGGCGGTGGACGGTGCTTGGCAGAGGATAACTGTGATTGAAGCCGCCGGGGGGGACCTGGAGCTCGGTGTGCTGCCGCTGCTGTAAGCCCGCACAGCATTAACATGGAGCTCGAGAACATCGTGGCCAACACTGTGCTGCTCAAAGCACGGGAAGGTAAGGATGGGGAAGGCGGTGTGACAGCTCCTCTCCACCGGTGTGTTACAGTCACAGCACCGGAGGGATGCCCCGGACTCAGGCGGCACGAACTGTTCCTGCACTTCCTGACAAATCTTCTGATGATGCGCGCAGGGTGTTACCGTAAATACAGTTCGTACGAGTAGATAGAAACGACCAACCGAACTCCGTTTATAATTCGAGCGGTATAAGACTTTGTTTCATATCCGTGGTCCTACGCTGAATGTCAACTTAATGAGGACTTTATTCAAGAATTTAGCAAACAGTGTCCACTTCGGCGTGGAATATGTTTAAACAAATCTCTTAATTACCGTGAAATCTCTGTCTTCCTTGTTCATTGTGCCGACTACATTGTAAAGTCAATAACTCTGTTATGCTACCTACACAGGGCATGTATGAATGTTTACTATATCCCAGTATACGCTGAATTAAAGAGTATGACCTAAAGCCTGGGAAAACGTTACAAGTAGCAAATGTTTAAAATTATTTTTTGGCGTGGCTTTGATAGTGTACCTAAAAGGTTGTCCGGAAAGGGTTGTAACCGTGAACTGTGGCTGCAGCGACACATCGGGCTTCCCTTGCTGATCTTGCAGCATCGTCCTGTAGTTTGCGAAACAGGATGTTGTGGCAGAGCAGCTGTGCTGTGCAGGGCTTTGTGCACACAATTGATTTTACTGTTCCTGCCAAAGATCATCATCATTAAAACGGCCCTCATTAATCAGCTACAACCAGGAAGCTGTGATATCTGTGGGTAAGAGTCCAGGTGAAAAGGTTGGCTCGTAGGACACTCTACTGGCACAGTTTGTCCAATAACTGTTAACACTTTTGAATACCTAATGCAACATAAACGGCCCTCCTGCAATCAAAGGCCTTTGTTATTGTTCCAGTAAACAGGAGACAAAGGTTTGAGTGGCTCACGGCCGACATAATCCTAATGCCGTGTGCACAGGCACCTGAGAAGATGTTTCATGAGTTTATCAGCTGTGCTCATACATAATCAGGACCTGAGGCTCTGTGCTGGCATCCAGCCGAAGCGCCCTTGAGAAAGGCACCGTATCTCTGGGCCCCGTCAGGCCTTGACTCTGACCTCTCTGGAGCTGAGACTTATCTAAACTCTTGAGTTTAAGTTCAACACAAAGTTTGAGCTTTTAATTTCCTGCGTTCTGCAGAATTTTCTGCACCAGTTTGCACCTTTTCTCGTTGCTTAATAAGTAACACATAATCGCTGTATAATGATCGTTCTCAGTTTTCCTCATATAACACTGTCCCCACTGAGTCATCACACATGCAGCCGTGACTCTTCTGACCTCACTGGGGTTTGCCTGGTTTTGGATGTGAGAGTCATCTGATATCGGGATAATTCCCCGGCCTTTTGTTTGGGGATGAATGAATAATTTGTTTAATTTAATTTGCATACATAAGACGTGTTTCAGTAAACAGGGCGCTCATTCATCGAAACAAGGGCTGGCAGTGTTATCCTTCAGTATGTGTTGGATAACCTTTCACTTTCTTTAACTCAAACCGGGATTTTTTTCCTCTAAATATCTGCTTGTAGTTTTAAATAATACTTTATGAGGTGTTTTGGATCAGTAGTGTATTTATGATGTATTTAAAATAACACAAATTGATGTAAAAGCTGAGTGAAGACGATGATCCCTCCATTTAAAATAGGAAAAATATTCATGTCATGTACACCAATGACGCTGAAGAGTCCAGCGACACTTACATTAATAGGGAACAACTTCAGGAAGTGACCAACGTGTTTCAGCTCGGCCGAATGACCCTGAGGAACGCCACAAGCCGAAACGCGTCAATCACTTCATAAAGTTATATCACAGCGGGTCTTTACTCAAACTAAACCAGACTGCAGAGGCAGCGTGTGACAAACAGTGACTGAGTGGCTTGTTGAAGCATGTTTAGCAGGAGTGTGACTTTATTAATCTCTGATATGGTTGTGGAGGATTTTTCATTCACTCTTCTTTACAATGTTGCTTCAGCTCATTGAGGTTTGTGGGCACTTGTTTATGCACTCTGTGAATGTCCAACCGCAGCATTTCAGGCGTGGCGAGGACCCTGAATCTTTTCTTTCGTCGTTCTGTTTGCTTCGGATCGTTGCCCTGTTGCACGACCCAGTTTAGTTCAAGCGTTAGCTGTCAGACAGATGGCCTCATGTTTGAGTCTTGGTATACAGACGAGTTCATGGTCGACTCAACGGCTGCCAGGTGCCCAAATCGTCATCCATCCACCAACATGCTGAAAGTTAGTATGAGGTGTTCTTGCTGATCTGCTGTGTTTGGTTTTCTCCAGAGGTGGCGCTGTGCATTTCCACTTTGTCTGTCAGACATCGTTCTAGAGGTCTTGTAGTTTGTTGAGATTTGCAAACCTAAGCCGTGCAGCCATGTCGTTTCTAGAAAGACCTTTTTCCTGGAAATCTTTCCAAAAAGGATGTACTTGTGCAATCTTCGTCTAAGTGTGCTGACATGAACTTTAACCTTTAATAAGCTGACTGAGGCCCGTAGAGTCTGAGGCTTTTCTGCAGTTTCCCAGACGTTTGGACGTCTTTGCTGTTCGCTCCTGAGAAGATCGTAGTATGGTTCTGCTGGAGGTTTCTTCCTGTTGAAAGGGAGTTTTTCCTTCCCACTGTCACCAAGCGCTTGCTCACAGGGGGTCGTCTGATTGTTGGGGATCATTGAAAGGTCTTTACCCTTAAAATATGAAGCACCTTGAGGTGACAGTT